CATAGTCCTTGTCACATGCTATGTGTTTAATGACCATTGCAATTTTGCTGCTATTTTAATTATTAACTCCAGTTATATAGACCTCATTTTTCTGAGCATAGACTTAAAGTTCTGAACATTTATAGTTTTTTTATCTTAAATTTACCCTAGTAGCAAAGTATTTAAACGGTATAGAAGTATAAATGTTGGAAAGTGAAAGGCCTTTTCTATCTTGATTCTTGCCAACGGTTTTCTAAAATGTGTTTGCATGTTTATTTATTTTGACGTGTGAGCACATATCCCCTGAAAGGGTTCCTGCTAGCCATACTATTTTGACACATATTTTTACCACTCAACAATATATCATGGGCGTTTTTGTCAAAACGTCGCTTCAGATGAATATAGAATGACGTCTACTTAACTAGTTTTACATTGTTTATACGCACTGCACCTTGCTTCTGTGAGTTCCCGGGATCTGCTTTATTCTTGTAACTACTGTGCGATACTCGGCAGCAGGCGTCAAGCCCATACTTTAATTATTCTCCTAGTGAAGGACAGCGAGGCTACCCCCAATGTTTTAGGATAGGCTTCTTCTTTTCCAACCAGATTTTGTTTTTCAAGAGCTAAAATAGAAACCCTCATTTCCCTGAAGCCTTTGTTTCTTCAGTGAAGAAAGTATAGTGGTACCACCATCAGGATGAGGATAGCAAAACGGGTTAATACAGCTCGGGGAACAGCTGTCTGAATTAGCCTCGTTTCAGCTCTCTGAAGATTTCTGGGACCCTCCCCTTCTGCAGCACATAATTTATTAACAAAAGAATATTTTTAAAAAAAATTCCTTTCTTCTCTCTGGATGTGTTTGCACCTATCAGAAAGGCGCTGGCGAAGGTTTGCTGAGCAGCTACTCTGTGCCAGATGCTTTTATTTCCATTTTCATAAGATTAAGAGACAGGCCCAAAGTTAAAAATCTAGAATTTGGCAGAGGTGACATTTGAACTTAAGACTTGGAAACCTCTGCTCCTTCAGCAAGTTAAGTAAAAATGGTCCAGTGAGAAGAAACCAATTAAATCACGAGGGTTTATGAAACACGAAGAGATATACTTTACTTATGTCGCATTGCAGTCTTGGGAACAGGATCTAAAACTCTGTCTTCTAATTACATCACACTGCTCCCCTTGTCAGGATTCTTCAGTGGCTTCCCAGAACATACGAGGTGAAATCCAGACTTTGTGTGATGGTCTTCATCGTCTGTTTGATTTGGACACTCACGAACTTCCACTCACCTGGCATACTTTGCTTTACCCATTCTGGTCTTCGTGACATTTCAGCAACGTGAACAAGCTTTCCAGTCTTTGCTCTTGCCTCCCTGGGCTGGGGAACACTTGTCTGCCGATCTCCTGGGTCCTTACTTCTTTCAGGTCTCTGTTCCAATGTCACATCCTCTTGAAAAGACTTACCTGATTGTCCTAATCCCACAGCTCCACTCTACTCCCTTCTCTGGCTTTGCTTTTCTTCCCAACACTTGCCCCTCTCTGACATTGTAGTGTGGATGTATGCTTTACTTTGGGTGTTGTCTGGGTGCTGACCTCCCATGGTCAAGGGCAAGGCACGCTCCTCTGTACCGATAGCACTTAGGATAGAGCTAGGCAGATCATGAACGTGGAGGGAGCTTTCAGTAGAAGAAGGAATACATGATTGCTCAGCCTACTTTTAGTAAATTATTTCCTAATATTTATTTATTTACTTATTTTTGAGACAGAGTCTCACTATGTTGCCCTTGGTAGAGTGCTGTGGCATCACAGCTCACAGCAACCACCAACTCTTGGGCTTAAACTATTCTCTGGCCTCAGCCTCCCAAGTAGCTGGGACTACAGGCACCTGCGATTTTTTAGTTGTAGTTGTCACTGTTGTTTGGCAGGCCCAGGCTGGGTTTGAACCCACCAGCTCTGGTGTATGTGGCTGGCGCCCTAGACACTGAGCCACAGGTGCCAAGCCTATTTATTTTTTTACATGAAGTGAATCCAGACCTTCCCTTTGGTCATCTCTATGGCAGCGATTCTTGGAAGCACATTATGTAGCAGCAACTAGTTTGGATATAAAAATAGGGCTAAGTACAATATACCTCTTTTTTTTAAACTTTTAATAAGAGATCATTAACTACTTTAATTGAAGTATGGAAGTCTTATTGTAAAATACATTTCAGATAAATGCACAGTGTATAAGAGCTGATCTTTACAAAGTGTACAGCTGCTGTTCAGGCATCAGCCAGATCAAGAGAGCACATTAGTTAGTGCCCTAGAAGCCCACCCGGTCTCCTTACAATCACTACCTACCCCTCCACCAAGGTTACTATGACTTGGTTTCTAAGAGCATAAAACATTTTCATTTATTTTCATGTCTTCACGTTCATTTAAATTCTCTATTTATGTTTGCTCCTTGTTTAGTTTCTGCTCTCTGAGGCCTTAGAATCCTCTTACAGAGTAAAAAAAAAAAAATTAATTAAATCCTTTAACATCTCTTATGCTTTGAACAGTTTTGTAAAAGCAAAACTGCAAAGCCTTGTAGTAATTCTCAACAGACACAGGAAATTCAAGCAATGAGCCGAGAGCTGAATGCATTTGATCTGTGAAATGATTTGGGCTCAAAATACTTTGGGGAATAGCAACTTTTGTGGATGTCATTTGAAAGATAAACAATATTTAAATAGAATATTGTGCAAAAGAATGAAATAGATCAGTAATGGTAATAAATTTAGAACAACATATACAATCCAACACTACACTTTAAAGAGAGAAAAATTATCTGAAAAATGTGACTCGTGGTTTTGTTACCTCCCAGGAAAAAGGAGGGGGGGGAACATAGGAGAAAACTATAATGAATTAATGTATTTAAAATACAGTAGTAGATTTCAAGAGCATTTTCATGGAAATCACGGTGTTGTTCAGGAGCATCCATTATAGGATTTAAAATAATAATAATAAAAAAAATCTGTGTTGCTGATTCATTTCTGTTGGCTACTGCCAGATGGTATTAGTGTCTTTCTATCCTTGAATCCTTTCTGTAAGCATCTTAATATTTTTTTACCAAGATCAATTATTTTAAGCCCAACATATGTTTCAAAACATATCACTTACTATGTAAATTTATATCGTTTGTATCTTTAGTGGTTGGGAGCTTCTGTGTTTGAATACACAGATGTACCATTTGGAGACCATGCGTGGTGTCACGGTGAGAGAAAAACCTGTCTCTCTAACAACAGCCTGTGTGTTTATCCTGTGCGAGTGGCAGCAGGGGCAGATGGTCTCAGTTTTGGTCATTTTCTTTTTTAGGTTTACTCTTCAGTGTAATTCATGTGCACTTTTTCTTCAAGCACCTGTAGTACTCAAGGCAAATACCCCACATGGAATAGCCAATGATTTCCAGTGACAACGCTGTGAGTGAAGAATCAAGCTTGTGACGTGGTCCTTGTAGGAGGCTAAAAGAACAGGCTGGAAAGATTATTATCTCTAGAACAAAAATGCTGGTCATCACCAGGGTCAGGTGGAGGCTGTGATCCAACAGTGATTTCTGGGCCCACCCCTGGAGAGTTTCTGATTCCCCACATGGGAGGTGGAGCTGGAGAGTTTGTGTTTTTCGTCCTCCCCAGATTGGTGGGTGATGCTGGAGCTGTTGATTCAGGGGATGACACTTTAAGAACCACTAAGTGAAAAGACAGATGGATGTGACTCAGAGAGCAGAGCACAGGAAACCATGTCCTGGATCCAGCATTTGAGCGGTTGGGCTGTAGAAATATTGTTGATACTTATGAATGAAGTATAAAACTATGGATTATCAAACAATGAATAAATTACTTCATCAATAAGTTACTTATCACTAAATCAATTGCTTCATTCATAAGTATCAGCAATATTGTAAAGGACACTGGAGTGAGAATAGATAGAAAGTAGATGGAAGTTGCTCACCTTTGCAAATCATTAAGAAGTCAACGTGGGGGGTCGTGAAACATCAACTGTGAAAGTCCACTGATTTATAGGGCAGGCCTTAACACGACCACTTTAGCCCTTTTATTTGGCCTAATCAGAGTTCCCATAGCTTAAGCCGAACAACTGGGCCTGAGAAAGCTCATGACTTTATCCCAGGAGAGGGCACTAGTGACACTGGGCACAAGAGTCCAGATAAGTAGGGCGGCACCTGAAATAGACCTGAGCAGATGGTTGTTTTTCCAAAGCATAAGAAGGCCTGCTTCTGCTGTTGCTAGCCAAGCAAGCCAGCCTGGCTCAGAAGCCCAGTAAGGGTCTGAAAACATCCTTAGAAGGAATGACTATCCTCCCTCAAATCTTCACAGAGGCTGAACATGCTTTGCCCTGCCATCTGTTCTCCCCAGGAGGTGGGCCTTCCCTCCCTGTGGGCTCTGAGTATGCCTGCAGGATAGTGGGGACCAGGGAGCATGAGAGCTGGCACCACACATCTGATCATTACTGCTTAGACTCATCTCTCTCCTTGCAGGAGCTCTGCCCACTGTTGGGGCCAGTTACAGAACAAGGGCGAAGGAGTTCAAAAGTAAAGATTTAACCATTTCGATCCCTTAAAAAGTGTGCAAGCACACAAGCTCCGAGATGAGAGAGAGCGTGATACTTTCTTTCTTCTAAGGAATTAAAGATTTTCTTCTAGAGGCAAAGGAGCTCTATTGAAGGATTTTTAATGGGGGAATTACATAATAAAATCTGCATTTGGAAAGTTCACCAATGGTGTTGAGGATGCATGTGCAGGTAGTAGAAGCTAGGTTAGAATCCCTTTATAGTAAATAATGTTTCACAACAAATAGTAGGTGAGAAAAGTTCCACGGAATCCCTAAAATAAATTTTCATCTATGGAAAATTTAAATCTAACCAGTCAACTCCCATATTTAAAACTCCTTATGAGATCCTGATTGCTTAGGAAATGGTCTTCTACCAATCTAATAACACTGCCATCGTAAAAACGAATTTGAGACTATCTTGGCTTCAAAATATACATATTTGGTGCTCGCCCCAGCGGCACATATACTAAAGTTGCAATGATGCAGAGAAGATTCGCATGGCCCCTTTGCAGGGATGACACATAAATTCGTGGAGCATTCCATATTTTTAAAAAGTTCATTATCTTTAATCCAAGAAATTCAAATCAAAACCACCCTGAGATATCACCTAGTGCCAGTGAGATTAGCCCACATCACAAAGAACCAAAGCTGCAGATGCTGGTGTGCATGTGGAGAGAAGGATCAACTTCCACACTGCTGTTGGGATTGCAAACTAATGCAACCTTTATGGAAGAAGTATGGAGAATTCTCAAAGAACTAAAACTGGACCTTCCATTTGATCTCACAATCCCATTACTAGATATCTTCCCAGAAGAACAAAAATCATTTTACCACAAGGACATTTGCACCAGAATGTTTATTGCAGCTCAGTTAACAATTGCCAAGAAGTGGAAGCAACCCAAATGCCCATCAACCCATGAATGAATTAACAAACTGTGGTATATGTATACCATTTGACTGTAAGAAAAGAAGGAGACTTTACATCTTTTGTTTTTACCTGGATGGAGCTGAAGCACATTGCTTTTAGTAAAGTATCTTGAGAATATAAAAAAAAATACCCAACGTACCCAATACTAATATGAAATCTGGATCCAGGGGGTCCATAAAGTTCACGTGCAATTTAAAATTATGTACTCTTTTAAATTGCACATGAACTTTATGGCCCCCTTCCATAAACATGCTCTTGCAAAAGATAAAAAAAATATATATAATCTTGCAAGGGGGAGGGGAGAGGTCGGAGAAGAGAGAGGGGTGGTAGGAGGGTGATTGGCGAGATCTCAGGTAATGAGCACAATGTAAATGTGGTCAGCACACCCCCTGGGTGAAGGGCTCACCTACAGCTTGAACTTTACCTTAGAACTGAAAACAATGGAACCTAAACATTTATACCCTCACATTAATTTGAAATAAAAAATATGCATTTGTTTTATTTAGTTGTAAATAATATGCACATAGAAAGCATTAGTGTATTAGGTACTTTAAAAAAATGAAATTTTCAAAGCACAAAACAAAGTAAATATAATCAGAAGTTACATTTCCTTCCTAGTCTCAAAGGATCATTGCAGACCCATTTGGAGGCCTGGGTCTCGACAACAGAGAAGAGGCTCTTTAGCAGGGGTATCAGCCCCTCCTGACCTGATTCACAGTCACATTTCAAGGCTCTCTGCTTTGGAGACCGCCAGTGAAGGCACTTCCCTGCCTTGATCCAACAGTTTCTGCCCTTTGGTTTTTGTTTATACTGATTTCTTTACGTGGACTTTATGCCTAACTTTGTTTTCTCTCCCTGCTTTTAGCTTAAAATAACTCTTCCCATGCTACAGGGATATTGTCTGTTTGTAAGTCTTTTTTCTTCCCCTGTCCCGTGAGCTCCCTGAGGACAGGAACTTTATCTCTGGGTATAGTTCCACTGGAACTGGGCAGACATACCTGGCACAACCTCAGTTACAGCTTCAATCAGATGCAAATAGAAAATATCTTTGAAGTATTGCCTTTATTACCCCTTCCAAATATATTTCCTTCAAGGATTTGGCAGGAGGAGTAAAATTATTTTCAATTAAAGCAGGTTTTCCCAAAACAGGATTTTCTCAAAGTAGGCTTCAGTATTTTGCAAGAGAACAATCAGGTCTAGATATGTTTGGAAACACTAGGTTAAACAGTTCAGCATAGACCCCACTAGAGTTTGTGAACTATTTATTCATCTTAATGGGACATACGGGCATGATATCACATTTTTCACCATGGGAAATGCTTTTGCTGAAGAAGCGTCTCGTTGCACTATACAGGTTCCACAAGACTTTGAAACCCAGATACAAATCATTGAAGATCACTTTTAAAAGGCACAATTTATTTGATTCTGACTATGTATCAGATCAGTTGTTGATATTATACCAATATCACAGCTTTAGGGGCTAGCTTTAGCAACGTCCAGAGAGACGGTCTTCAGGAGAGAAACATTTTTAAGTATAAATACAGTTATCTTTATACTGAGTAGATTTTCAATAAATATTTGTTGATTAAAGTCAATGTCAAGGACCAACTAGTTCAGGAAGGGCAAGGCAGGGCAAAAGAAATGCTTTGGGGACATGAGAGTTAAGGGAGTAATGTGACGTCATGGGCGGGAGAAGGTAAGCATGGGATAGAGAGGGCAGCTAGCAGCTCCGAACAGAAAACCCTCCCTCCAAGTTCTAGAACTGCTGTTAAGACCCTTCCTGTAATACCCATGTAAATATTTGTGGCTTAACACATAAGTAAGAGCATTATTCAAGTTTGAACTTGGCCTTTGCGTCATTGGTGAAGAGCTAGGACCATGGGTCTGTGTCATGCCCTCTTATCTCACAGCCTCCCTAACTGCATGGACAACTTCAACTTGGGTTCACAGGAATTGCTCTGGTGGGTTAGTTCTCTGCATTAAATTGATATATGGTATGACAAAAACAGAGTAAGAAAAATACTTAGTTTCCACACCAGTAAAGCCAATTAAAACTTAAAAAAGTATTCATGGACAAAAGGTATATTTTTAAAATCATGAACTCTGTCCCCGAGTCACGTGAGAGGTACTTTCATTGGGCACATGACATTTACGAATCCTGATCGGCATTTCCTTCTTTGCTGAAAAGTGAACCTGGCCTAGTTTGCAGCAAATATGACAATAGGCTGGGCCAACGTATGTCTAAAATGCAGCAGCTATGCGGGGGTTAAATATTCAAGTTTATGTGAGACAGTACCAGTTCCAGGTCAAAGTGCTATTCTTACATGATCAGTATAGAACAGAAAAAAGGCATTGAAGTGACCTTGCTGAGGGTCTAAAACTGCACCGAAGCCTTTTCTGCATGATTAAGTGAGCAGAATCTTAGATTAGCTAAAAGCAGTGCAGAAACATAATGAGTTCACTTATTTTGGAGCATTTAATAACAGTTATAGACAGTTATGTGATCAGGTGGAGTTATGACTTATTCATTCTTTCATTGCTATTAAAATTACTGCATTTGAGGTTTTTAAAGTCATTGAAATAAAAAAAGTCTGATTTATGTTAGGAGAATTTAGCTTGCCCTTTGGTCTCTCAGTTTTTAAATGATATAATTAGACTTTTTAAAGACCATTCTAAAAGCATTATTAGCATTTTGTATAGCGGAAAGTAAATGCATGTTTTGTGGATAGTTTAATTTTAAAAGGGATAATAATACTTGATTCAGACAGTGATATTCATAGATTATTAAGGAGAGATTTTTTTTTATAAAATTTCTCAAAAGGCAACTGTATAATTTCTGTAATAGACTGTGTAGAATATGTGTGGATTTTGCTGTGTGTACACACAGATACACTCTTTCTAATGCACTCTCTAATTTCATTTTGAATGGACATTACAAAGACATGGAAATAATACAACACAGCTTTCCTCCCATCTGGGAAAGCAAGGATGGGAAGAGAAAGTACCAGAGGATGTATTAACTCATGACCTTTAGCATATTTCCTCCGAAATTACAGAGCCATCTATCAGCCTGGGGGTGGGGTGGGGGGAGCCTGCTTTAATCATAACAAAGAGATTTGCAGGTGGTTTGAATTAGCGGTGAACAACAATCATTAATAAATCATTTTGGAAGAGTATGGAAATTTTACAGATCCATCAACATTTTACTCTTAAAACACGATTCTACTCTTAAACTTTTCTCCCCCGCATTTCACTGTATGCAAATTCCGTTCCCTGTCCAAATCGTTCCAAATTAGACATCACCTCCACTTTGAGGTGGATTATGATGCAACTCATGATAGGCACAGACAAAACATATGTCACCCTAAAACTGTGAAATAAAGTGCTGATTTTAGTTGGACACTGGAATAGGATTATTCGATATCTAGATCTTTGCTCATAAAATTGAGCTGACTGCCATCTCTTTAAATAACAGCGATTTGTGCCACATGTGTGTTCTGGAAATAGTTTGTATATCTCTTTTGGAAGCTCCAAATGCTGAGCATGATACTGTTGAAGGATGGAAACTGAGAAACACGTTACCAAGGCTGAACACAAAGGAGCCCTCTGTGTAGCGAGCAATGGAGGATGAGCCACTTAGATAAATGCATGGCCCCAATTTGTGTCTGTTAAAACATCACTACACATACTTTTAGATACATATACATTTATATATGAATATATGTATGCATTTTTTTGTTTTTTGTTTTTTTTTGCAGGGGCTGGGTTTGAACCTGCCACCTCTGGCATATGGGGCTGGTGCTCTACTCCTTTGAGCCACAGGCACCGCCCAATGAAAATATATATATATATATATATATATATATACATATGTACATATACTCACATATGTATATGCGCATGCATGTGTGTTTATGCCTCTTATTTTATGTGAATGTATTTGAATTTAATTACTGAAGTTTGCCTCTGCATGAGTAACCATCCTCTGGTTAGTCCTTAGCTAGCCTTTAATGGTCAAATGATCAATTCTCTTTGTCTAGTTTGTTAATTGACAGCAAAAAGGTGTTACTCAGTTTATAGAAGGGGAGGGTCAGGTGGTTTGGGTGACAGCTTGAGGGGTCAGATTGGGTAGCAGCAGTCTCTGGTGACTTCACAGCACGGATGCCATTTGAGGAAGATGGTCGGAAAACACTCATGGGTTCTTGACAGTGATGTTAACTCCTACCTGGACCATTTCCAAAAGGAACACGGAGCACATCAGAGCCACTGACGGCGGGAGGTGCTGGGGGAGGGTGACTACAGGGGCCTCAGACCCGTGCAGTGCAGGTTTTTGTCCACTAGAGACTGATCTCCACCCAGTAAACATGTCACTGAGGACCTCACCGTTTAGACTTGAACTATGGTCTCCGAGGTGAGAGGCTAGCGTTTCATCCACTAAGCCATTTAGCCTTTTCCTTTGAAGGAAGATTGATTTTTAAAAAGCTATTAACCTTTAGTGATTTATCTCATCAGATCATCTTCATTTTCTTCTGCTTATAATAAGATGATATTATATAGTTTTATTCTACAGTTAATTCAACAAGACCATCTGAAAGGGAAATACACGAGAATTATAAAGAAG